GGGGGGAGTGCCAGTGACATAGTAGGGGATGGCGAGGGCGAAGTGGGAAAAGGTGGATGAAAATGATGAGTAGATGGGGGTGGTGTGGTTTGAGGGGTTGGTGTGGGGTAGGGGTTGGTTTTATATTTATTTATGCTTTGGGGTTGCGGCGCGCGAATATGAAGTCAGCAGAGGGCTGTGTGTGCGGCTCTGGTAGCGCCTCGTGCGCCGCCGCACTGCTGCTGCTGCTGCAGCACTCTTGCTGACCCGCACTGCTGCCGGGGAGGCGCTCGCTGGCCCGCCGGGCGCCCGGCGACGCGAGGGTAGCCGTCCCGCTGCGCGCGGCCGGCGGCCTGGTGGCCTACCCCCGCGGCCGACGGGCGCTAGCCGCGTGGCTCCAGGAGGAGGAGCGCGCCGCCCTGGGGCCGCAGCCCTGGGGCCGCCGCCTGGGCGAGGTCTCCGGAAATGACGAAGCGATAAAACAGTGTTGACATCCTGCAGGGCGGTCGATCTTTACGACCCCTCGCGGCGCCACGCCTCTGCAGACCAAGAAGCAGGCACAGCCGGGGGAAAGGGCTGCTCGGGGAGCAAGCGAGCGCCTCGCCGTGTGGAGGGCGGGAGAAACGGGTTGAAAAGAGAGGCTCGCGGCGTCCCGGATTGGCGCCCGGGCGAAACATGTGTGTAGTGCAGCGCCGGCCGTGGCGCCGGCGGGGGCGGCGGCCTCCGGGGGGCCTCCATTAGGACAAATAATACATACGGGGCCCGGGGAGGGGCGGGGCGGGGTGAGGTGAGCCGGGACACGAGGAGGACTTTGTTAGAATCGCGTTGGGATATTCATGAAAGAGGCGCAGTAAGCTAGTTTCGCCGCCGCCCCCGCGCCGCCCCCGCGCCGCCCCAGCGCCGCCCACGCACCGCTCCCGCGGAGCACAGGAGGAAAAAGGGCCGCCAAATAAAGCGCCGGGACGGCGACGCGTCTATGGGAAATACGACACATATTCCCGAACGAATGACAAAACTTAGTTTTGATGTGAAAGAACGCGTTCCGCCATGGACAGTTTAGAGTTTGAATCAAATCTGTCTCGCACGGATGCTGAAAGTCGTATTGACCTTTACTTTGTCATTTCACAATACCATTGATTCCATTATCGTATTCTACAAAGAATACAAGAAAACTCCCTCATATACTGCTTCCGCTTGTTTCGCCTCCTGCTGCGCTACGGGGCGGGTCTCCGCTGTCCCGGGTCGTTTGCCCGCCCGGGTCCCGGGCCCTCAAGTGCTAAACTCCCTCCCCGGCCCTATGGCGTGCCCGCAGCGGTGCTGCCGAAGTGTCCGGTCCGGACGGAGCGGCTGACTCACTCATTGTGTAGCCGAACTCGTCCTCCTCCTCCGGGTCGTTGGCAATCTCGTCCTTGCTCCGTTTTATCGCTCCGGCGCTCGCCCGTGATATCTGTAGCAAAGCCGCTCGTCAATAAAACATCGGCGCAGGGAAGGAGTAAAGGGAATAAAGAAAGGGGGGGAACGAGAGGGGAAAGAGAAACGAGTAAAACGGATAAAAAAATTATGTCGCTGACAGAGGAAGCCTGCCTGCTCCTCTGTTTTTCTTTCTCTGTTTACCTCCTTGCCCTTCTTGGTGTAGATGCGTCCTTCCATGTCCCTGTTGTCCTCGTCGTCGGAGTCCTCCTCGCTGGACGAGGCGGTGGAGACCTTCTTCGCCATGGCTGGCGCCGGCTGCGGCGCTGCCCGCGGCGCCGGCTGGCCCGCGGGGCCCTTGTTCGTCTGCGCCGCATCGCCAAGGCTCGCCTGCGAAACACGTCACCAAACCTTAAAGGGGCGCGCAGGCGACGACAGCAGCAACAACAACAACAAAATTCCATCTCCTCTCCGAAAGAAAGAAAAATTGTTGTTCAGGACGTATCAGAGAACACTCTCCCGAAAAAGGATGAAAAAACAAAAATAAAATAGATAAAAAATGAGGGAACATCAGAAGAAAAAAAAAATGAAAAAAATCAAGGCAGTCAGAAAACCTCAGGCATAAGCAAACCACCCGGTGTACGCTTCAATTTATAGTAAAGGGCCCATCGCAAGAGACTACCGATTCTTTTATACACCCGTCGTGCTGTAGAGCTAAAACGGAGAAAAAGGGAAAGAGGAAGGAAGGGCAGGAGCTCTTCACGGACGGGGGAGGGTGGGCGGAGGTGGAGAGGTGGCGGTGGAGAGGTGGCGGTGGGGGGCACGAACCGTGAAGAGAAGGGCTGCGCGGCGCCCGTGCTCTCCCCAGATAAGGAACACGCGCCTCTTGTTTCACAAACTGCGCCGGGCCCGGGGCGGCCCGGGGCCGGGAGAGACGGGCATGGTCGGGGGTCCTCGGGTCCTCTGACTGCACCGCCGCCACGCTGTGTGGCCCGCGGCGTCCCCCAGGTTCCCCTGGGGAGGGGAGGCGACGGGGATGGGGACGAGACGAGACGCCTCCGCCTCCCACACTACCTGCGCGACAACCCCAAGTGAAAATATTTTCTCGCTCACAGCCCGGACTCTCTCTCTCTCTCTCTCTCTCTCTCTCTCTCTCTCTCTCTCTCTCGCTCTCTCTCTCACTCCCCGCCGGGGAAGGGGATCCTTCCTACCGGCGCTAGACGTATATATAAAAGCAGCAATGTGCGCCTCTAAGTCGCTCTCTCGCTCCGCTTTCCTTGCCGTGCACCACCTCCGCTCCTTTCCGCCCACCAAAACCTTCGTCTCATTTCCTGAGAGATTGGGAGGGGAAAAGCCTACACTACTCTTTACTGACTGACCTCGTCCAGAAAGTAAAACTTTTACGCGCGCGCGTGGGTGTGTGTTTGTGTGGGCGTAGTCCTTCTGTCCGCATCATATGTGAAGCTAGTGGCTGGTCAGTCCCCGGCCCCCATCCGCCCATACACACTTCAAGCCCCTCCACCAGCGCGCGCTGCTCTGCCTCCACTTGAAAACGTCGCGGCCAGCAACAAGCACACGCAACCTACTACTTTCCGGAGCTGGTCGCAGAGCGTGGGGGACATCAAGAGATCCGAAAAGAAAAGCTCGGCAGGGCTCTCAAACTCGGGTGGCAACTCCACGCGCGGTTCGTTCTCTCTCTCTCTCTCTCTCTCTCTCTCTCTCTCTCTCTCTCTCTCT